AAAACCTTTATTAAACCAAATTTCAGATCGGAAAAATCCGAACAAAAAAACATTTTAACGCATTTAACTCATTTTCCAACGGAAAACTCTTTATTTAACCCGATTTTGGGGTGCAAAAACCTTGTTTGACCTGATTTTGGAATGGAAAAAAAACTCCTTTATTTAACCCGATTTTGGAGCGGGATAAACCCTTCTTTAACCCCATTTTCGGACGGAAAAATCCTTTATTTAACCAAATTCAGACCCGGAAAAGGAGTATTTAACCCAATTTCGACCCAAAAAAACACATTTAACCCCATTTCAGACCGGAAAAAGGAATATTGAACCTAATTTCCAACCAAAAAACGACATTTCACCCAATTTTCGAAGGGAAAAAATCTTATTTAACCAAATCTCAGCCGGGAAAAAGCCGCATTGAACCCAATTTCGATTAAAAAACCATTTAACCCCATTTTCCAACGGAAAAATCGGCGTTTTACCCAATTTCACACCGGAAAAAGCCGCATTGAACCCAATTTCGACCCAAAAAGCGACTTTTAACCCCATTTTGGAGCGGAAAACGCTTTATTCCACCAAATCTCAGAGCGGGAAAAGCCGCATTGGACCCAACCTCGACCCAAACCCCCACATTTAACCCGTTTTTTGACGGGAAAACCCTTGTTTAACCGAATTTTCGAACGGAAACCGTTATTTAACCCCATTTCAGACCGGAAACAGCCGCATTGAACCCAACCTCTATCCCAGAACGCCACATTTAACCCATTTTTTGACGGGAAAATTCTTATTTAACCCGGCTTTCGAACGGAAAACCGTTATTTAATCCAGTCTCACACCGGCAAAAACCTCATTGAGCCCAGTTCCGACCCCGAACCTCCACATTTAACCCGTTTTTGGAAGGAAAAAACGTTATTTAACCCCATTTCACACCGGAAAAAGCCGCATTGAACCAACCTCTACCCCAGAACGCCACATTTAACCCCTTTTTTTGACGGAAAAACCCTTATTTAACCCGGTTTTCGAACGGAAACCGTTATTTAACCCCATTTCACACTGAAGCAGCCGCACTGAGCCCGGTTTCGACCCCGAACCCCTCATTTAACCCCATTTTTCGACCCCCAAATCTCGGCCCTGCGGCCGCGCGGCGCCGTCTGACGGGCGCGCTGTGTTGTTTGGCAGCCGCCGCCGCCGGAGGAGGAGGAGGAGGAGGAGGAGGAGGAGGAGGTGAGGAAGAGGAGGGCGCGGGCGGGACGTGGCTGCGGGCGCGCAGCGGGAGGAAGAAGCGCTGCCCGTACACGAAATTCCAGACGCTGGAGCTGGAGAAGGAATTCCTGTTCAACGCGTACCTGAGCCGCGAGCGCCGCCTGGAGATCAGCCGCAGCATCGCCCTCAGCGACCGCCAGGTCAAGATCTGGTTCCAGAACCGGCGCATGAAGCTCAAGAAGATGAACCGCGAGAAGCGGGCCCGGGAGCTGAGCGCGGGGTTCGGCTTCAGCTGAGCG